TTCCATTCGTGAAAACTCTTTTGAAGCAACTAGCTTCTAGGTGGTCCTTCCTTGCATCGATCATATCCTTTGATGGATAATTTTCCGAATGAGGTCGGGGATATGATCTCTGTTCTTCAGTGGAACTGTAGAAGTCTTATACCGAAACTTGACACATTCAAATTTTTAGTTCACAACTCACTTTGTGATGCATTTGCTCTTTGTGAAACATGGCTTTCTTCAGACACCGATCTCCCTTTCCACGATTTTAACATTATTCGCCTTGATCGAGCAGATTCGTATGGAGGGGTGCTTCTCGGGATTCATAAGCTCCATTCCTTTCATAGAATCGATCTGCCTTCCGTGACAGGCATTGAAGTTGTCGCATGTCAGGTAAATATTCGAGGTAAAAGCCTCAGTATTGCCTCAGTATATCTTCCTCCAAGAACTGCGATTTCTCGCCAAGGTCTCTCAGATATCTGCTCAGCTTTATCTGAGCCTCGGTTGATATTAGGAGATTTTAACTCCCACGGTACAGGCTGGGGGGAACTGTACGATGACAACCGCTCAACCCTGATATACGACCTTTGCGATAACTTCAATATGACAATTCTAAACACTGGGGAAGTAACACGAGTGGCCAAACCTCCAGCAAGAGAAAGTAGATTAGACCTCTCCCTCAGTTCGAGTTCACTATCGTTGGATTGCTCGTGGAAAGTAATTCAAGATCCCTACGGTAGTGACCACTTGCCAATCAAAATTTCTATTACCAATGGTTCATCTTCCACTCGCTCGGTTGACATCGCGTACGACCTCACGAAAAACATCGACTGGCAAAAATTTGCGTCCGCGGTTCTCGGTGGTACTGATTCGGTTGAGATACTCCCTCCGCTGGATGAGTACTCCTTTTTATCGCGACTTATCGTTGACTGCACTCTTCAAGCACAGACGAAACGCGTTCCGGGTGTCTTCGTTCGCAAACGACCTCTCACTCCGTGGTGGGATAAGGATTGCACCGACGCGAACAGCGAGAAGTCCGCCGCGTTTAAACGCTTCCGCAAACACGGTAAGGTCGAGGATTTCGAGCGGTACACCGACCTCGAGAAAACTTTTAAGAGCTTGATTAAAGCCAAAAAACGCGGTTACTGGCGTCGGTTCGTCGATGGTTTGTCGAGAGAGACTTCGATGAGAACACTCTGGAATGTCGGCAGGAGAATGCGCAACGCGTCATCACCGGTCAACGAAGACAAGGAGTACTCAGACAGTTGGATATTCAGCTTCGCGCAGAAAGTTTGCCCGGATTCGGTGTCGGTTCAAACCAACGTTCGTGATAGTCCGTCGGGTAGTAACAAAATAGATTCTCCGTTTTCGATGGTGGAATTCTCACTTGCTCTCCTCTCATGTAACAACTCAGCTCCAGGAATGGATAGAATCAAGTTCAACTTGCTCAAAAATCTCCCAGACGTCGCGAAGAGACGCTTGTTGAACTTATTCAATCAATTTCTGGAGCACAACATTGTTCCGGATGATTGGAGGCAAGTAAGAGTTATCGCCATTCGAAAACCCGGTAAACCCGCGTCGGATTATAACTCGTACCGTCCCATCGCGATGCTGTCCTGTATACGGAAATTGTTGGAGAAAATGATTCTTTTTCGTCTAGACAAATGGGTCCAGTCGAATGGTTTACTTTCAGATACGCAATTTGGATTTCGGAGAGGCAAAGGAACGAGCGACTGTCTTGCGTTGCTTTCAACTGAAATTCAACTGGCCTATGCGCAAAAACAGCAAATGGGTTCAGTTTTCTTGGATATTAAGGGGGCTTTTGATTCTGTTTGTATCGATGTCCTTTCGGATAAACTCCACGATAGTGGGCTTTCACCAATTATGAACAACTATTTGAGCAACTTGTTGTCTGAGAAATATATGAGCTTTTCTCATGGAAACTCGACAACTTCACGAATTAGTTACATGGGTCTCCCCCAGGGCTCATGTTTAAGCCCCCTTCTTTATAATTTTTACGTTAAAGACATTGATGGTTGTCTTGATGAAAATTGCTCGCTAAGGCAGCTTGCAGATGACGGCGTTGTGTCCGTTATAGGGCCAAGTGCACCGGACCTGCAAGGACCATTGCAAGATACCTTAGACAATTTGTCTACTTGGGCTATGAAGCTGGGTATCGAATTCTCTCCGGAGAAAACTGAGTTGGTTGTTTTTTCTAGGAAGCATCATCCTGCACAGTTACAGCTTCAACTAAAGGGTAGAACAATCACTCAAAGTATATCTTTCAAGTATTTAGGTGTCTGGTTCGATTCCAAATGCACATGGGGAAAACATATTGCGTATCTAAAACAAAAATGCCAACAAAGAATCAATTTTCTTCGTACAATCACCGGAACTTGGTGGGGAGCACACCCGGAAGATCTTATCAGGTTGTATCGAACAACCATCTTGTCGGTTCTAGAGTACGGTAGCTTCTGCTTTCAATCCGCGGCGAAAACACATATCTTGAAGCTGCAACGAGTTCAATACCGTTGCCTCCGAACCGCGCTTGGCTGCATGCACTCGACGCATACGATGAGCCTCGAAGTACTCGCGGGTGTTCTCCCACTGACAGATCGTTTCGCTGAGCTGTCTTTCCGGTTCCTCATCCGTTGTGAAGTATTGAATCCTTTGGTAATAGAACACTTTGAGAAGCTGCTCGACCAAAATCCTCAAACAAGATTCATGAGTTTGTACTATGAGTACATGACGCTGGAGGTTGGTCCTTCTTCATTAATCTCCAATCGTGATTGCTTCCAAGCCTTCTATAGTTCCTCTGTAAATTTTGATCTGACCATGATGCAAGAAATCCATGGAATACCAGATCACCATCGGTCGATGGTTGTTCCCTCAATTTTTGCAATCAAGTACCACCATGTAAGTAACGATAAAAGATTTTTCACAGATGGGTCAACCATAAATGCTTCCACTGGATTTGGTGTATTTAATCAATTTCATAGCGCCTCCTATAAACTGCAGAAACCATGCTCCGTATACGTTGCGGAACTCGCAGCTATATTTTACGCAGTAGAGCGAATTGCCTCACTACCTTCTGACCATTATTTCATTTTTACGGATAGTCTTAGCTCATTGGAGGCTATTCGTTCAATGAGGCCGATGAAGCACTCCTCGTATTTCCTGCCTGAAATACGATCTAAACTGAGTGCTTTATCTAACTGCTCCTATACTATCACCTTAGCTTGGGTCCCATCTCATTGCTCAATTCCGGGTAATGAGAAAGCGGACTCATTGGCTAAGGTGGGCGCTATGGAAGGCGATATTTTTGAGCGACAAATCGCCTTCAACGAATTTTTCTCCATTGCTCGCCAGCAAGTTCTCATCAGTTGGCAACAAAAATGGAATGATGGTGAATTGGGAAGATGGTTACATTCTATTCTCCCACAGGTGTCGAACAAACCATGGTTCAAAGGGTTGGACATGAGCCGCGACTTTATACGCGTTATATCAAGGCTTATGTCCAATCACTGCTCGTTAGACTCGCACTTCTATCGAATTGGGCTCTCAGGCAGCAATTTATGTGCGTGTGGCAGTGGTTATCACGATATCGAGCATGTTGTTTGGTCGTGTACCTTACACCGTGTTGCCAGATCTGAGTTATCCACATCCCTCAGGGCCCGAGGAAAACAACCCGCGATACCCGTTAGAGATGTCTTGGCGAGCCGAGACCTTGACTATTTGAATTTAATTTATGTGTTTTTAAAACGGATAGATTTGAGGATTTAGAAGTTAGTGTCATCTTGTGTTCTCCCAAGTTGTTAGCTACCCATCGGTGTACCCCCATGTTTGTCTTTTTCATCAGAGTGTCGCCTAGTTCGAGATCAAGAGCACATTGCTCTCCAAACCTTGTGTTCACAATCCCTACCCTGCCATCCATTTGTTACAATTTGTTACCCCTAACCTCGAGATAGCCGCGAGTAATCGGCCCCCGCTTTACTAACGTTAGTTTTAAGTAATTTTGTTATCTAAACAATGAATATCGGCTCCGCAAAGCAAATGAGCCTGGAAAAATAAACGAATTATTAAAAAAAAAAAACCATGTATGCAGCTGTCAAAAAATGGGGGAATTTTGAAATCATAAAATGGGTGAAAAAATACCCATTTAAAGAATCAGTTCACGGTTGAATAATGGGTATATTTTTTACCCAATAATGGGTGAAAAAACACTTCGAAATTTTATCGTCTCATTTCCGTCATTGGGAATGCAAACCACGATGCAAACAGTTACTGTCCGCAGCAACGATCTCCGGAAAATATTAGAATCCAAAACGTTGGAGAGGCTTACGGATAAGTCAATACAATGGATAATTTGTATTATAATGTTTCGTGAAAAATTTGAGCGGAACACCTGCATTTATTTTCAATGTTTTAAAAACATTTTTACATCAACGAGCGCTTGCATCCTCCATTTGTAAAAATGGGTATTTTTTCACCCATTTTACGGTAAACACAATATAAGAAAATGGGTGAAAAAACACCCATTTATTGACAGACCACCCATTTACCCATTTATGAGTAAACCATAGTTTACCCATTAAATGAGGAGGGGCACTTTTAGCGGAAATGGGTATTTTTATACCCATTAATGGGTTTTCGCGAAACACCGTGTAGAGATTAGTGACGTTTAACGCACGCACACTAGCGGGGGCAACGCCGTGTAAAGTTGTTTATTATTTTCCTCTGGCTAACCTAAAAAATGTATGAAAGTAGATCTGTCAAAATGAGTTTGACATCGATTTATTATGTATTTTCCTCGGATATTCACTAACACGCTCTCATATATCGCACCAATACAACCAGACGTGAAAATCTCTATATCTTATGAGAAATGATTGCATATGTTTCATGTATGGCACCCGTTTATTAGAGTGGCTCTGCAACAGCTTTTGTTTTTTAAACTAATGTGTTTTCCTTTAATTTATTATTTTAAATTTGTGACAAAATAAATAACTTTTTATATTAACTTTCAGCATTTATTGAATGTTAGCGGAACGTTGTTGGGTTTAGCATGGATCGGAGCAAGTATGAACAACTTATTGCTTATTTACTTAATAACAATGATTGCTTGTCTATGGCCTGGATTTTCCCAACTGGAAGGATTTCAAGCTAAAATCAATATGATCAAATCGAAGATTTCTTTTAATAATATTTATGATAAAACCAAAATGTTCTAAGTATTTATATGTGTGGGTGTGCTAATCGTAGTTCATATCACTATAACTTTTCTCAAACATTGCACACACAAAATAAAAAAAATAAAGTTTATCCCAGTCATCATGTAATCAATCCGAAAATCCTGGTTTATTTACAGATATTTATTGCGCCTATCGATTACACAGCTCTTTAGTAGATTTACTTTCTGTACCACATTTGGAGGGTTTTCATTCTCTTGACCTTCTTTTGCAATTGAAGAATTCCATAAAGAAGTGCCTCCGCAGTCGGTGGGCATCCAGGAACATATATATCCACTGGGATGATTCGATCACAACCTCTGACAACAGAATAAGAGTAATGGTAGTATCCTCCTCCGTTGGCACAGCTTCCCATCGAAATGACCCACCTGGGCTCAGGCATTTGATCATAAACTTTTCTCAAAGCTGGGGCCATTTTATTAGTGAGGGTACCAGCTACTATGATAACATCAGCTTGTCTCGGGGAAGCTCGGAATACAACTCCGAAACGGTCCATATCGTAACGAGGGGCTGCAATATGCATCATCTCGACAGCACAACATGCCAAACCGAAAGTCAATGGCCAAATAGAACCTTTGCGACCCCAGTTCAGAATATCGTCCAAACGAGCAACAGTCCAGTCAGCCCAATTAGATTGTTTTGTTCCAAATGGCGAATAAGGCAACTTTTCCGGCTTATCACTTTCAACTACAGGAAGAGTACTTTTTTCGCGAAGGCTCACATTTGCTGCACCCTTCGGGATGATCAATTTCCAGTAATTCAGAAGAGTAGGGGTAATCGCTGAACGCATCATTTTGCACTGCTACGAGAAAAAGACACTATGAACTAAAATTTAGTATATATAACAACAATTAAAGATAATGTTACCACTATTTTGCACAATTTCGTTTGTTCAATTAGGAAGGTTTATGTAACCAAGCTGTACATAGCATTAGGTCCTAAGTAACATTGATCGATTCTCTTCATCGATTTTCTTTTTTATTAATAACTTGAGTAACTTCTAAACTTGTCGTATAAGAAGATAGATAATAACTAAGTTTTCTAAGAAGTCTTCTTTCATCGATCTGTGAGCTGAAAATAGCTGGGAATGTCTTAAAATGGCCGTGAGGATGGAAAGAGTAAGTCGTCGAAGAGAATCTGTCAATGTTACTGAGGACCTAATGCAATGTTCAGCTTGTAATGTCATTTTCGTTTTTGCGGTGTAGCTACCGGTGCTCACAGAAATTCAAAACAACCCAAAATTAAGTTCTTTTCACTCATCTCCCATGTTCCGTACGATACACGCTATTTCAAAACTACCCAAATTTGGGTAGAATCCACCCAGATCCGTCAAAACTGAACCTACCCAAAAATGGGTAAACTGTGTTGGGAGTGACAAGTTGACAAATGGACAACGTCGATCGGATTGATGTCAATGTTGTTCATTTGTCAACTTGTCACTCCCAACACAGTTTACCCATTTTTGGGTAGGTTCAGTTTTGACGGATCTGGGTGGATTCTACCCAAATTTGGGTAGTTTTGAAATAGCGTGTAAGCCAAATTTGGGTAAACCGGCTCAAAGTAGTTTGCATTTAAGGACGGCAAAAAAAATTACCCATCGCTAAGTTATTTTCAATTTTTTTCTACCCAACATTAAGTTCAATTAACTCAAATTTGGGTATTTCGCATATTACTCAATTTTGGCTTCTCGTACGGAACTAGACGGTTGAGTCGAATCTTTCGTTCTATTTTTGACAACAATAGCGAGAGGAAATGAAACGGGCAGAGGTCAAATAACTCAAATTCGAGTTTAAAAAACCCAAGCGGTGAGTAGTTTTGTTTTTCTGTGACACTGCCGTACACCGGAATAATAATTATTTTTAGGGTGTAGTCCTTCAAAGTTCCTCAAAAGTGAGTAAAAATTTACTCTCTTCGGTAATAGTGGAACTACTCTAAAGTGAGTAAACCTACACTGATAAATTTAACTATTCCTATTTTGCTTGAAATTTAGTCAATTTGAATATATATACAATGAATACATATCGAATGATTAAAAATTAATCCTCTCTTTCTAAAAATTAAGCATCTGATATTAATCCCAGTTTAATCATGGATGATTAGATTGTAGATTATCTTTTTTTGAATAAATTTTAACCATTTTTGAATCTATTTTAATATTTTTTGATTGAATTTTAATCTTTTTTGATTATATATCAGTATTGAATAAGAATAACATTTAATACTGGAAAGATTATTTCGAATTTAATCATGCATGTTTACTGCCGAAGTAATCATGGCTCGGACTCAATAAGGTGAAGCGGGAATCTGCATACTTTTTAAGCTTTTTTTATTTAATTTATCTTTGAGTGTATAGTTACTGACTTTTGAGTAATACTAGCATTTGTCGAAATCAGAGTAACTTGTACTCAGTTCTGACACAAACGAAGTGACAGACGACTTACTGGCGAAGAAATCCATTAAAATAATGTGGTTCACTGTGATAGAATTTTCTTGGAAGCTTGTGCCATCATCCACCAGATGGGTTAGTTTTTTTGTTTTGATTTGAACAAAGTTGATTTTGTGTACAATGATTCTTTGACAGTGTGCAAAGCACAAACGAAGTGACAGACGACTTACTGGCGAAGAAATCCATTAAAATAATGTGGTTCACTGTAATAGAATTTTCTTGGAAGCTTGTGCCATCATCCACCAGATGGGTTAGTTTTTTTGTTTTGATTTGAACAAAGTTGATTTTGTGTACAATGATTCTTTGACAGTGTGCAAAGAGTGCGTATCATTTTGTCATTTTTTTATGCATTTCAGTTTTTAGTAGAGTGAAAGAGATAGAACCAACAATAAATACGAAACTAACGATTTTAAATTGGCTCACCACTTTAGTAGCCTATTGGTCCCAAGCAAACGATTAACGTACCCTATTCTAGTTGACATTCTATTACTACACTATGTTTGTTTTGATTCGCTATGAAAGTTTGACAGATAACATCAGGGGTGTGTGGATTCATGCAGAACATGCAGGGGTTAGTGAAATAGCTTGGGACTGCTTGGGACCGTTGTTCTGGTACTGAGTGACCCAAAAATAATAATGATTTTCTTCGGGACCCAGTGGTCTTAGAGTTACCTCTATGATAGAACCAAAACATTCTAGTACATTCGGTTAAAATGCTAGTTCAATCTAGTAGTAGTGTTGCCATGTGGTACAATCCAGTAGTAGTGGTGTTGCCATGTGGTACACTGAAAAATTGCAATAGCAGGTTAGTCACCAAAGTTTTCGAGCCGCTCCGTCTGTCACTTCGTTTGTGGTAATAGTTCTTAACAACCCATTATTTGTAAGGTTCACTTCCAAAGAACCATAATACATAAGGTTAAAAATTTATCACACAAGCGTTCATGTAAAGTTCTATGACCATTTCAGTTAAAGTTTAGCAGGGATTATAAACAATTTTCAACCATTTTCGGTAATGTCAAGTTATGGTTCACTTTTATGCGGGCAATGCTCCCGACGCCAGGAAGGCAGCTCCCACACCTGGACCCTACATATCGACCCATGAACTAATTAACCGGGGACCAAACAAGAATTTGAAATGGTAATGGTTCTTAACAACCCATTATTTGTAAGGTTCACTTCCAAAGAACCATAATACATAAGGTTAAAACTTTATCACACAAGCGTTCATGTAAAGTTCCATGACCATTTCAGTTAAAGTTTAGCAGGGATTATAAACCATTTTTAACCATTTTCGGTAATGTCAAGTTATGGTTCGCTTTTATGCGGGCAATGCTCCCGACTGACGGCGGATCAGGGACAACGGCAGCACAAAAACCAGCGTATCGTGGTTCCGGGATAGGAAGTACGAAAAGAATGAACTCGCGGAAATACTTTCGGTAGAAAATTAACTTTATTAAACGAATAAAATAAACACGTTGTGTACGCGGCGATGGAAATGCTTGGAATGCAAAAAGTACAGTCAACACTCTTGTTGTTGTTTTGGCGCGATCGATAGGGCTGCGCGATAGAGCTGCGCGAGCGCAATAGGGCTGCGCTCGACTACCCACCGAGGGGTTCGCTGATGTGGAGCAGTGAAACAGTGCACGCTCAACACCGACGCCAGGAAGGCAGCTCCCACACCTGGACCCTACACGGATAGAAAACTCCTTATACCTTTTGGCAAATTTCCATTGCTGATTATTCATAAAATGTATAAGTCAACTAATATGAAGACGCCTTGCAAAAAGTTAATAAAGATCATGTGTCAAATGAAATGTATAAGCGGTCACACATACCTTTTATGCATTCTAATAGGACCTATGTGGTTTGTTTTATGGAATGTATAAGGCTGATGCTTTGGCAAAAATGTATAAGTGAAACACATGAATTAAATAATTGATTTTCGTTTCGTGTACATATCGACCCATGAACTAATTAACCGGGGACCAACGGCTTTACTTCCCTTCCGAAGGATGATCAGTGAAAAAGAAAACAAAACATAAAAAAAAAAATTGGCCATATTATTTCCGGAGTGATTTGAGATTTGGGCGTAATTGTTTGTTTGTTTGTGAGATTGAGCTTTTATTCAAGAGAAATCAGTGATTGACGTGTTTGTTTTCAAAAGCAATTACGCCCAAATCTCAAATCACTCCGGATTTTTGAATCAATAAACATATTTTTATTTCTACTGCGTGAATTGTCAGATTTCATAAAATAAATATGATTGAATCAACAAGAAATCTCTCAATAAATATATTTTTGTTGTTGACCCAGCTGCCAAATTTGACAGCTTACGTCAAAACCATGAAAGCTCTTGTAAATTCGAAAAGATTTTCTTTTTGATTTAACAATCCATGGGTTTTGAGGAATAAAAATACTGGATTGTTTTTTTTGGGTATCAAGCTGGAGCTGCGTGACAGCTTAGTTTTCAAGACTTGACCCATTTGAATAAATGTTGCTTCTATCTTTGACAATACAGCAGAAGGACTAGCCTACGTTGGCCGCTTGAACACTGGATTCCGTATGTATTTTTTCAAGATAGTTATAGAAAAAATGCTGTGACGTGTGTGCGTAGATCTAGGCGTAGATACATCCGCGTAGTAAACCGATTGAATAAGTAAATCCGTTTCGGACGAAATATCTAAATTATGTAAGTTACGAAAACCGCGCGAATTCCGAAAGCCGTGCGAGACAACCGAAGCGTGAAAAAGGCTTATTATCATTTAAAGAGTGCCACCAAAATAAATGTGATAGCCTATGTTGGCAAGTTGATTAATTTTGGTTTCCTCCCTAGATATTCTACTTATTTACTACTGAGCTTTGTATCAAATTAGTTAATTTAAAGAACGTATCAATCATATCAAGATTTCGCGACCGCACTGAACAAATTCTATACTACATAAGCTCAAAAGCGTTTGACAAGCTCTACCGAATTGCGTATCACTTCTGCGTAGACTCCGTAGACGTAGGCGCGTTGAATCCGACAGTCGGCAAAGGTTTAACCTGTATACGAACACCGCTTAAGGAACGACCTCGAGTCAGTAAAACCGTTTAGAGCTAAACATCTAAATTACGTAAGATACGAAAATCGCGCAAATTGTGAACGCCACGCGAAACAACCGTAGAGAAAAAAACAGCTTATTATCACTTAAAGAGTGCCACCAAAATAAATGTGATAGCCTATGTTGGCAAGTTGATTAATTTTGGTTTCCTCCCTAAATATTCTACTTATTTTACTGTTGAGCTTTGTTTCAATTTAGTTATTTTACCGTATCAATCATTTCAAGATTTCGCGACCGTACCGAACAAATTCTATACTATAGAAGCTCAAAAAAACTTTTGGTGAGCTCTACTGCATTGCGAATCACTTCTGCATAAGCTCCGTAGACGTAGGCGCGTTGATTCCGACAGCCCTGAAAAGTTAAACATGCATCAATACCACATAAGGAAAGATCGATTTTACGTAGGG